ATAATGAGTAGTGCCGCTACCACACATGAACCCTGGACTCTTAGGCCTAGATCCACACATTGTACAATTTTTGGAAAGGCATTCATGCTTTTCAAAAATATTTGATTAATACAAAGGAGCACATTTCAAACAATTCATTCATTTTCAGTATATAAGTACAGCTCCCCCCCCCCCCGCTCCCCCTCTATGGTACAACTGATCGTGGGGCCTTGAAATTTACAATTCTTGAAGATAAGGGCCCTTGCTCATAACTATATAGGTAGTTCATCTGCTTAAAACCTAGGTGCAAAGAAGAAAATATTCAAAGATTTAATGTTTTTTTCACTATACATGTATAATCAATATAGCCCACCCCAACACCAGAACCCCTGACCCTGGGGCCATAATATTCATAATTTTGGTAGAGGCACTCTTGCTCATCATAACTATGTACTTAGTTTATATAAAATCTAGGAAGATTTTCAAAGAATTCATGTATTTTCACTATATAATCAATAGAGCCCCGCCCTAACACTAGAACCCCTAACCCTGGGGCCATAAAATTCACAATTTTGGTAGAGGCACTCTTGCTCATCATAACTATGTACTAAGTTAGTTTATTTAATACCCAGGAGCAAAGAAGATTTTCAAAGAATTCATGTATTTTCTCTATATAATCAATAGAGCCTCGCCCTAACACAAGAACCCCTGACCTTGGGTCCATAGAATTCACAATTTTGGTAGAGGCACTCTTGCTCATCATAAATATGTACTTAGTTAGTTTATTTAATACCCAGAGGCAAAGAAGAAGATTTTAAAAGAATTCATGTATTTTCTCTATATAATCAATAGAGCCCCGCCTAACACCAGAACCTATGACCCTGGGGCCAAAAAATTCACAATTTTGGTAGAGGCACTCTTGCTCATCATAACTATGTACTTAGTTTATTTAATACCCGGGAGCAAAGAAGAAGATTTTCAAAGAATTCATGTATTTTCTCTATATAATCAATAGAGCCCCGCCCTAACACCAGAACCCCTGACCCTGGGAACATAAAATTCACAATTTTGGTAGAGGCACTCTTGCTCATCATAACTATGTACTTAATTAGTTTATTTAATACCCAGGAGCAGAGAAGAAGATTTTCAGAGAAATAATGCATTTTCACTATATACTTATTTAGCCCCACCCTAGCACAAGTACCCCTGATCCCAGGGCCATGAATTTCACAATTTTGGTAGAGGACTCAATGCTGATTACAATCATGCAAACAGTTTGACTGCTTGTTGTACAGGAGTAAAGAAGAAGATTTTTAAAGATTGCATTAATTTTAGTGGCTTTGGCCCCACCCCCAGGCCCCAGGGGGGCAGGGATCATGAAATTCACAATTTTTGTTCCGATTCATCCATAGATGCTTTGTGCCAAATTTGGTTTAAATTGATTCAGTGGTTGCAGAGAAGAAGCTGAAAATGTTCAAATGTTAACACACGACGAACGACGCACGACGACGGAAGAAGACAGATGGCAATAGGTCACCTGAGTTTACTCAGGTGACCTAAAAACCACCTGTCACTTAGAAAATCTACACCTTAGCCAGAAATTATTAGATCTCGGCATTACTTATCAACAATGGCCAGAGAAGAGGGGCCTTACCTGACCCTTGCCCACATTGAAAAAGCTACTGGAAGTGCAGATCGATAGGTTGCATTGGTGAGTATTAAATAATATAGTTTAATCATACTATAGTGAAGCCTAATTAATTACTCTTCCCGAAAAAAATTGTTTGGAGCAACTACTATTTATATCAATAATCCTGAGATTTTTTCTAATCATGAAAGTAAAATACGCACCTTTTGCTCATTTTTTTGTAGGTATCTAACCATAAAACTGGACATATTTCCCCCGTAACTCTGGTGTTTACAGTGTAATTTCCTTTCGAAGATGCGGGCCAAAGTTCCGAGAGTACCATCAGATCTGCAGGAGGTGTTGATCACATATCCTCATCAGGAAGAATATCTTCCTTCTGCTATGAACACCTGCTTGATAAACAAGGCCTTACAGGGTATTTGGGGTGGGCAGGTGTCCGCGACCTGACTAAGGAAAGCAACAGCCACCAATGTAAGATTTAAGTTCCTAAAAGGAAAAAAAATTGGTGATACTATTGCCTTAAAAAAACTACAGATCATAAGTGGACAGTAGAAATATTCAGAAGCACGGACAAAATACCAGCATTGTTTTAATAATTTTTTTCAATTGTATAAAACTGAACAGTTCAAATTAAGCTATCTGATTCATCAAAGAAAATAAATTTGATTCAATTTGTAGGTGAGAGCAATGTTTCCTGGGGCCATGGAGTGTCTTGCGGCACAGATGAACCACAGACCATCTACACTTATATTCTCTTTAAAACACTATGACAAAGACATATCATGCACTTGAGTGATGCAGTTCCTTACAAGATTTCCACTTGTTATTCCTAACATGCTCCCTACCTCCTTCATGATTTTTAATACTTTAGATTCTACACTACCCCAGGATGCTTCCACATAAGTTTCAGCTTTCCTGGCCAAGTGGCTTTTGAGAAGAAGATTCATAAAAGATTTTTTCCTAAAGATATTTTTGTAAAACTTGGATCCCTATTGTGGCCCCGCCCTACCCCCGGGGGTCATGATTTTAACAATTTAATATCTACATTACCCAAGAATGCTTCCACATAAGTTTCACTTTCCTGGCCCAGTGGTTTTTGAGAAGAAGATTCTTAAATTTTTCCCTAAATTTATTTATGTAAAATTTGGATTTCCTATTGTGGCCCCGCCCTGCCCCCGGGGGTCATGATTTTAACAATTTAATATGTACACTACCCAAGGATGCTTCCATATGAGTTTCAGCTTTCCTGGCCCCGTGATTCTTGAAAAGAAGATTTTTTAAAAAAATTTCTATGTTAAAATTTGATTCCCTATTATGGCCCCGCCCTTCCCCGGGGGTCATGAACTTACCAATTTAATATTTACACTACCCAAGGATGCTTCCACATACGTTTCAGCTTTCCTAACCCAGAGGTTCTGGTGAAGAAGACTTGTAATGACCCCACCCATTTTTTCTTCTCTTGATTATCTCCCCTTTTAAGGAAACTTGGCCATTCATTTTAACATTTAAAACTCCCCTTTACCCAAGGATGCTTTGGCCCATTGGTTCTTGAGAAGAAGTGAAAAATCTGAAAAGGAACTGCAAATCTTGCGATTCTTAAAGATGCTCTTCTAGTGGCGACAACTCCCCCATTAAACTAGCAACTTCGTCCACAAGGTCACTTTTCCGTGATGCATACTGTTTGGCACTGAAAAGATTGAAGATGTTTATTTTCAATAAGCAGACAATAAGCATGAAAGAAAAACATTTATAAAAGTTTCAAAATATAAGACCCTATAAACAACTGTCTTATTTCTAAAATTATTATTTCAGGAAAAAAATTAATTAGGTTTTCGGAATATTCACTTAGATGAATTCTTTACATGAACTTTATAAACTCTTATTCTTCTGGACTCTGTATGTTTTTACCTTATGTTCTGTTCTTATGTTCTCAACTTCTCCAGCTCTTCGTTTATAGAGCTGGGTATTGCGACTGCAAAATCGTATCGCGATATATTGCGATATTAAATTTTGTATTGCAATATATTGCAATATTATAATTACTTTTAACTTTTTTTCTATAAAGACATAAAAAAAATATAGATTTCTTTTTTTTTTTCAAACTCGATTACTGATTTAGTTTTTTTTTTTTTTTACTGTTTTGAACACTAACTATTGAAACTTAAAAAAAAGAATGCAAAAACTATGAGAAACTCAGATGTTACTTTTGTGACTAGATAGTTGTGAAAACAAACTCAAAAACATTGAATAAAAACTATGAAAAACTTATGACTAGATAGTTTTGAACACAAAGCAAATTCAAAAACAGTTCTTAAGGTAGGATTTTTCTCACATTTCTTGTAATTAAAAATTAGTGAAATTTTCACAGAATCAAGAGGACAATATCACAAAATAGCGAATTATACACCATGTGCGATTAACGTTGTCGCCGCACTTCAGGTAGGATTCTTCTCATCTTTCTTGTATTTAAAATTTAATGAAATTTTCACAGAATCAAGAGGACAATATCACTAAGTTATGGTATCAGTGAGATTAAATTTGACCGTTTAATATTAGAGGCAAAGTCAGGTCAAGGTCATTACCTTTTTCCTGGACATTAGAAATAAAAAAATTCTGTTTCCAATCATGCGATCCCTACTTGTAATTCAAAATATTGATTTTTTTCTTTTTGTACAAACATACCATATAGGGCCTATAAGATGATATTACCAAATTGACATGGATAATTTAAATAAAATGGATATTTGCTAATCCGAATTTCCTCTAGTTTTCTTAAATTTTTAGGATTTATTAGTTATTTTTATATGCTTCCTATATTTAACTTTTTCCAATTCTCACATATAGTAAAGTTGTCACATAAAAGTACAAAATGATACAAAAACTAAAAGTTTTGATCGTTTACTCAGAAAGAAATAACACTTTTTACGGATTTTTGGCTCAAATCTGTACTCAGATTTGAAGCATTTAAAAGCCAACATAGTTCTAGTATGTGTGAAAAATCTTATTTATTTGATATATTTTGAAACTTTAGTCCCTTATTATTAATTTAACTTACATTTGAAAATTTCGTCTAGTCTTCGATTGCGTAAAAATTATAATTAAATTCAATGTTCTATAATAATTTTGAGAGGCAGGAAAGAAGATATTTTCATACGCCACCATTCCGCCAAAAATATAGTCCCTGCTAGTTTTCAAACGCAGTTTACCATTTCTATTTAAAGTTGTATAATTGTGTCGAGGAAAGAAAAATATGGTCTTTTAAATCTCTTACATCTAAATATATAAGACATATCAACAGATCCACTTTGAATATTTCCTCTAGTCAGAAACCAGAGAAGAATCTTACCTTAAGACATTTGTCTTGATATAAGCATCAGGAATTCATGATTACTGCAGATTTTTTTTTCAGGAAGATAAGTTTGTCCATATGACAAGGCTTTAAACAAGCCCTCTGGCTACTCACAATGTCACCTGCAGTTGAGAAAATTCTTTCTGATGCTACTGAAGTTGCAGGAATACACAGAATTTTTCTTGCCAAAGAAGCCACTAAAGGGCATTTGTCCTCATACATTTTCCACCATTGTAAGGGGTCGCTGTTAAAAGGTGCAGGAGGCAGACTTTTATAAGTTTCTATATTTTCTGTTGCCTTTTCAAAACAGGTTTTCTCTGTAGCCGGGGTGTAAGATACAACATACACATCTGAGTACAGTGATGCCAAGTTTTCCTGTTTTAACTTCTTTCTTTGAGGACTGTTATTGTTATTATTGCTGTCAATGTCAACAGCAACTTCTCCAATGCCCTGGGTGGAATCATCAGCTGTTTGAAGTGTTTGGGGTGGGTCCAAATTTGGTAATGATGGTAATGGTGGATCTGAAGTTTCCTTGGGCTCTTGTTTAATTTTCATTGGCCCAAGTTCAGCAAGTTTGTTGATTACATTTGAATGAACTTTCTCTTTCAAAGTGTCATCTTCTAGGAAAGGCAGTGATTTAAATCTAGGATCAACAAAGCTCGCCAAAGTTAAAAATTCTCTTTGATGTTCATATCTATGCTGCAGATCCTGCACAATTGCGTTCTTCATCTGTTTAATCCCAGTACTGTCATCTTCTCTTGTCTGCATCTTATGCAGAAGAGTGTGCTGTATAGGCATTATGACTGATATGGTGGGCATGCTCTCAGAGCAGAGAGAAGTTGTCACAGTTTTCAATGGCTTCAAACATTCCATGACTTCCTCAGCAAAAGCTAAGTCTTCATCTGTGAATGAATTAATGTCTTTGTCTCTAAATCTTGACACTTCCTTCATTCTCAGAACTGTTGTTACAGCACATTGCATTTCAAGAAAACGACAAACCATATCATATGCTGAGTTCCACCTTGTGGGTACATCTATCAATAGTTTGTGTGCAGGCAGTTGTATAATTCCAGCTTGTTCTCTCAGCTTTGCAGTTGTTGCAACAGAGCTACGATGGAAAAAGGCAACAATCTTTCTCATTCTAGCAAGAATATGGGATACTTGCTTCACCTTGAGAGACTTTTGCGCTGCAAGGTCAAGTGTATCTGCATAACATTTTATGTGATGTTCCGCTTGAAACAAGATGCCAGCTTTTTCCATATTGCTAGCATTGTCTGAAACGATTGGAGGTCTTGGATCAGAAGGAAGGCCCCAATCTTCGACTGCCTGTCGTAAAACTTAAGCAATGTTTTCACCTACAATATTAATTTGTAATTAAAATGAAAATCATATCTCCCAGTTTAAGTATGCTTTGAAATAATACTTAATTTCTTGTTTAGTAATATTCATTTCCTTTTGCTTTTTTTAAAATCAGATTTCAGATTTATACCTGTGGTTTTCTGATAAAACTCTTGTCTGAAGCACAAAATTTGTAAAGTCCTGTCTGTGTCTAAATACGGCAGTTATTGTAATAAACGAATCTGTACTCCTCGATGTCCATCCATCAGTTGTTAGTGCCACCTAAACAAATTTCAAAATTGCTTAAATGTAATACTTAGTTATTAAATACATCAACAATATAGTAACAAATGTTATACATATACAGTTTCTCAGAGAAAAAAAATGAATAAGATTTTGATGATTCCTTATCATAATTGATTTTTTTTTACAAATTCATTTAAGTTAGGATGAATGCACTGATAATTATAAATGAATACTGAATCAAAAATAAGTAATACCTTTTCTGCATTTTTAGGTCACCTGAGTAAACTCAGGTGACCTATATTGCTATCTGTTGTTGTCCGTCGTTGTGCGTCGTGCGCCGTGCGTTAACATTTGAACATTTTCAGCTTCTTCTCTGCAACCACTCAACCAATTTCAACCAATCTTGGCACATAGCATCTACGGGTAAAGGGGAACAAAAATTGTGAATTTCATGTTCCCTGCCCCCCTGGGGCCTGAGGGGTGGGGCCAAAACCACTAAAATTAGTGCAATCTTTAAAAATCTTCTTCTTTACTCCTGGACATCAAGCAGGCAAACTGTTGGCATGAATGTAATGAGCATTGAGTCCTCTACCAAAATTGTGAAATTCATGGCCCCAGGGTAAGGGGTTCTTGTGCTAGGGCGGGGCTATATAGATTATATAGTGAAAATACATTATTTCTTTGAAAATCTTCTTCTCTGCTCTTGGGTATTAAGTAAACTAAGTAAGTACATACTTATGTTGAGCAAGAGTGCCTCTTTCAAAATTGTGAATTTTATAGCCCCAGGGTCAGGGGTTCTGGTGTTAGGGCGGGGCTCTATTGATTATATAGTGAAAATGCATTTATTCTTTGAAAATCTTCTCTGCTTCAGGGTATCAAATAAACTAACTAAGCACATAGTTATGATGAGCAAGAGTGCTTCTTTCAAAATTGTGATATTTATGGCCCCAGGGTCAGGGGTTCTGGTATTAGGGCGGGGCTCTATGGATTATATAGTGAAAATGCATTATTTTTTGAAAATCTTCTTCTCTGCTTCTGCGTATTGAATAAACTAAGTACATAGTTATGATGAGCAAGAGTGCCTCTTCTAAAATTGTGAATTTTATGGCCCCAGGGTCAGGGGTTCTGGTGTTAGGGCGGGGCTCTATTGATTATATGGTGAAAATGCATTTATTCTTATTTACAAGATACTCAGGTGACCTATAATAGGGGGTTCAGGTAACCCGACTTACCTGTGTAATTGTGCTATTTACACGCAATTTATCGGTATTTATAAACGTCTTTTTTGTATTATTATTCGTATTTATCTAGAAATTAAATATAACGATTTTTTTCTTCTTTGTTTGAACTTTCGTATGATGTGTGTGTTATGTCATTCTAATAAGTCTGTGTTGAAAATTAACCGGGTCGAAGTTGTGCTAAAATTGGATACGGGGTTTCCCTTTTGATGCATGGCACTGTAATTTTGTCTCCGCGACGTTGATAGCGTCATTTTGATTGGCTTTCCGGGAGGCGATTTTTAAGGAATTAACGACATTGACATATCACAGGAAAGCTTACATTTTGAAGATTAACATTGTTATTGTTGCATCTTGATGCAATGTGCAGAAGTTTATGTATTTCCGTTTCAACGGAAAGAGGTCAATTTTACTACGGTAAGTAATCAAAATATTTTTATGCAACATACACTATTAGAAAGCTGAGAAAATTTCCTATCAGAAAATTGTGGTTCTGTAATCATTTCAGAAAATAATTCACCCGGATTTCATTCAAAAGACGTCAACCCGACGCAACTTTTGAACAGTTTCTAAGTACCTTTAAATTCATGCACACTTTTGTATCGTAAAACCACAAGTGAAATAGAAAATGTGAGATTAAATAATTTTAGACTTATTGGAATGAAGTCTATGAGTTCGAAAACTATGGTCATTTCCTACTACATAACATATACAGGGGGCTATATATGCTAGTTAACGGTCCCTGATATAAATGTACAAATTTGATTCTGCAGCCTGGATTTCCTCTGAATTCTGAAATACTGTCTGCATGACATATAATAAATGAATAACACGTAGTTCAAATGTGATAAAAGAAAATATATATTTATTGTTTTACTTATAACTATAAAATATTTATAATTTTGTTTGTGCACATGATACTTTGTGGTTAATTTTTTTTCAGTGAGTATATACAGTTAAACTTCAGGAAAATGCTATAGAATCATTCCATATCATGATTATGGTACCCGTCCGCGGCCGGTAGTAGCAGAAGTCTGAGAGAAACTTAACACTCAACTTGTCCAGGAAGCATGGATAAAATATACAATTATTGATTGAAACCGAAAATTTGATATGTATTTAAAGATCTTTGTAAATTTAAAAATAAAGTTGTGAATTAATTGTAGTAAATTCTTTTTTCCTTTTTTTTTTTTTTGCCATTTTCATAATATTGACATCTTTCTTCTTTGCTAACTTTTATTGACCATATTTTATTACGATCCTTATTCTAATAAATCTTTTAAAAGTAATAAGTTGAAAATAATTCATAAAATTTCATTATTTATTCTTAACTCACCTGATTTTGAAAGTATGCTTTCAATAAGACTGTATCGGTCATTTTTACTATTGGCGGCCATATTGGATATTTTGCCGCCATCTTGGATATTTTTTAGCTGACATGGAAACAGAAAATTAGGGCTTGCATAGACCTTTCCGAAAATATATAGTTTGCCCTACTTCTAGATAAAATTAGACTCTATCCTTTAAAAAATACCTAGATTTAACGGATTTTTCTTCCTTTTATGTGCCATCATTTAATACTCGTATGTATAGAAATTTCCTTACATAAAATAGCAGTACTCACAACATTGATTATTTCATAACTTCTGTTCTACTTGGAATTTTTTCACCAAGTAAAGTTTTTTATATTTCTTAATGTCTCCATGATTGTGCTAGAATATATTTAATTGAAAATATTTCACCGAAAATTTATACCTGAACCCCCTACCTATAAGGCCCGTGGGCCTCTTGTTAAGTTTACTTTTCAACTTTGACTGTTGTCTGGAAACTGTTTTCGTCCAGGAATAGTGTACCTAATGAAAATAAATTATAGAAGCAACGTTATGTAGTTTAACTTGTACACACAATATTTCTCTGTCTAAACTAATCAAATGTAACAATTATCAGAGTGACAGACAATGTCAGACATACTTAAATATCAGTACTATGTAGCAATCAATCTATTCAATCATATCATTTTCATTACTTAAACATGTTCCCGTTTATTAAAATAAAATCTTACCTAGGGTCTAGTATTTTAACGAGACGAACAAATTCACTCCCCGCAACCATTGAGTAAGGCCGCATATCTTTGATAATAAGCCGGGCTATTTGATCTGTAATTGCTTGAGCTTTCGGACTTTTGCTAGCGTATTTCGATCCAAAACATCCACCACTAACCATTGCAGAAGGTGTCACTTTGCCTTTTGGGGAAGTAGATAAACCCTGACATGATAATGGTTTTGATTTGTTTTGTTGAGAGTTAACAATGTCAATATTGCCGTGATGTCGGCGCATATGACTGGACAAATTTGTCGTGCCTCCAGAGTATTTTATACTTTCGTTCTCATTTCTTATAAACTCCACCGTGATATAGTTTGCCGCCATATTTCTCTGTAATCAAGGGCAAATAACTCTTTTACAGAATATCGAACCCGAACCGGTATTCACAAAAAAATACCGCGATACGTATTGTGATTAAAAAAAAAATCGGGATTCACCAGTTAACCGGTAATATCGCACAGCACTATTCGTTTACAGTACAGAAAAAGACAAACTTGGGCGAACTGCACATTTCTTCTTAATATTTCCTCTGTGTAACTTGAAATATTTAACTGTTTCAACTCTTCCTGTATGTATTCAATCAGTTTCTTCAAATAATCTAGTGATGGAATATTCACTTCTTTATTGAAGCCACGGGTAACTAGCACTGTTCTGACCATTTTGATAACTCTTTGCGACCTCTGGATTTTCATAAGCCTTCAGAAGGTTTCACATCTTTGTCCCTCTTGCACATTAGATTCAAGATTAATTTTTGTCCATTCAAGGTCAACAACTTTTAGCAGATCATACATGTACTTGATTTTGATTGTATTAGATGGAGATTTAAGTTCTTCAATATCAACCATGTAAGGGCATGCTAGTTTGACCGCGGCTGTTGCGATGCTGTCAAAACTGGCAGGTACGATGAAGTCCCAGAGGGTAAGTGAAGAAGAAGAGGAGTTTTCTGCAAGATCCTCTAATTCTCTTTATAACATGAGAAACTTTGCCATAAGCCACATATGTTGTTAGGCGTAATATTTAGCCTTTTTATTTCCATAACTTCTCCCTATGACTCTCCTAGGGCCCTTATTAGCAGATCATTATTTGTTGTTTGAGCTCTCTCATCCCTGGTCATAATTTGGTCTTCATCTAGAATATTGTCCTTAGAATGAAAGTGACCCTCCAAGATATGACGTCCGACTTCTGTTGCAATTCACGTTTTGTTATTTGCACTGGAATACTCAGGGAATCATTTAAGTGTGACGAATCAGTTTGGTACAAATTATAAAATTTCTTATGGTGTTTATCTAGTTTTTAAATTCAACCATTCCAGACACTCTGGAAAAGGATGCGAGCCCCTATTGATTTATTTTAAGATTTGTTACAGCATTAGCATTATCTAGAACAAGCTTGTGGCATACTTAAGCAAAATGGCCCTTTTTTGTTACAATACATACAATTAGACTATCTAGCCTAACATGCAGACTTATTAAAACGACTCATCCCACAGTTGAAACACACTTAATCCTTGGATGGCGTTTTGGAAGAATTGGCTGAACTCCTGTTGTTTCGTCCTGTTGGTCTATGCCTGGGTTGGATCTGAGACAGTTTATTGTCCATTACGACAGCTGCCATGTCAGAAACGACATCTTTTAGTCCCGAAGTGAATACTTCCGCAATGGCGACAGGCTTTGCTGTCGTTCGAGTCGAAGTCACCGCAGTATCTGCCATTCCAACGCTTCTCCCGAGGTCTTCCATATTTTACGGGTCTTGTGGAAAACAATTCAAGCCGTTGTACTTTCATAGTAAGGGATGTTATGAGGGACTCCTCCATCGTTGAATCTGCATGCCAGTTTCTGCACATGGTACATATAATTTTTCCAGCGTTTCCTCATGGAACTCTTGTATTTGTAGCATTTCTCTTTTGACCGGGGCTCTGGGTTTAAATCTTTTGTAGATTGCTTCCTCTACTGCTCTATTAACTTTATTGAGGTTTTGAATGCGGATGAAAGATGCATAAACCACTGATGCACTATTGATGTTTGGTATAAGGGAAGGCCATCAGGCGCGTAGCTGCCTATACGCAAGTGCGTACACATCATTTTCCAAAAAGAGAGAGAGAAAGATAATAGAAAGAAAAAAAGAAAGAGAGAAATGTATTCGGTAAAAAAGAGGAACTATCTGTGTTTCAAATTATTTTGCGTCTTATTGTTTCGAATCAAATTTTGTTCAGCATGTTCTGCACATTCAAATTTAGTCTTTTATAAAATCAATTCCAAAAAACATCTTTCAACAAATTTGAGGAAAAAAATATTGTTGAACCAAAATGTTCAACTGTTAATCCGCGTAATCTTGATTATCCGGACAAATATTCGATGAAGAAAAGCGATCTAAGGGACATTGATCTAAAGAAAAAGTTACAAGGGTCATGGACGATTATACAAGATTTTTAGTTTCCGTTGAAGTAATGAATAAATGTCGTTAAACAAACAAAAAATGGTATAATCTAAATTATGGTGAAAAAAGTAAATAATAATATTGCTTCTTAGACTGATGTTACCCATTTATAGAGTTGTATTATTTAAGCATTCTCAAATTGTTTCAGCTATCAAATATGAAGGTAATCAAAAGACAACAACTACCCCGATTATATTTTGAAATATTTAAACTCCAGTGATACGATATTGAAATTACTACTCTGTTTTTTAACTTGATACACTTGGAAACTTTTTTCCAATACCAATATAGCCGTAAATTAATTTGATAAAATTATTGTTCTCTTCCCGAAGTATCAATGGAAGCAAATTAATAAGTAAAGGTTACATGCCGAAAACTGTCCATTCTGTGAGAAGAAAGAACTATTGGAGGGCCGTTAGGCCCGACAATAGTTCTTTTTTCTCACAGAATGGACAGTTTGAGGCTTGTAACCTACTTAAAACATTTCATTCCATTGTGTTCAGAATGGACTCTCTTAGAAAAGTTTCTCTCTTGCAACATCAATGAAGTAAACATCCTTTGTATTAAATTTGGCATTGTCTTCTTAGTAGACTGTCTCAGGTAAATTTGTTGATTTAAATACTGTGAATAGGATTCACTTCAATTGTTAACTTAGTGGACAGTTACAGGTGAGTTCCTTGGTTTTGTATAAAAAGCATGCACATCGAACACCACTTCTTAGTAAATGTCCCTGCGGTTAGGATGTCCTCTTCAGATGGAGAAAGCGTGTTTTTAACACAAAACAAGTTTAGAGAAGTTGATGAACAAGAAAACAACACGGATGGCATTCTCAGTGATATTTTGGATTTGGAAAGAGAACATCCAAAAAAACAACCGAATTTTGACCTCAAAGTAGATATTTTTTCGGATATTTCTGACGAGGAACTTGTTAAGGCCACCCAAGACATAGAAGGAAAAGAAAATATTGAAAGGTTTGCACGGCTCAATCAAGAAGATTTGGATAATTTGGTTAAGAAAGGTTTATCGAAGAAAACAGAGCAAAAGTCAAAGTGGGCAATGACTCTATTTACGAACTGGCAAAATGAACGAAAGCGTATGTTACCAAACCATGATACATTTATGTACCAGGATATTATGATAATGAGTGATGAGGAAATCAACAAAACAATGAGTTTCTTTGTAGCTGAAGTGAGGAATAAATCTGGAGAGGATTACAGACCCAATAGCTTGTATGAAATTGTGTGTGCAATTCAACACAAATTACGACATGAAGGTAGATTCATAAACTTTTTGGATGATAAATTTCACGATATGCGCAGTATTCTTAATTCAAAGATGAAAGAACTCTCTGGGCGAGGCATGGGGATAGAGCGGAAACGGGCAGAGATCATAACTGAGGCTCAAGAAGATGAAATGTGGTCCAAGGGAGTTTTAGGAAGAGATACACCTCAAAAACTCTAAGATACTCTACTGTTTCAACTAGGACTACATTTTGCACTACGAGCAGGACAGGAACACAGAAACTTGAGGGTTGGGACAAACAGTCAGATTTCTCTTTCCATGGATGCATCTGGACTGCGATATCTCGAATATAGAGAGGATGTCTCCAAAACAAATCGCGGTGGGCTCCAGCACAAAAATCTGCAACCTAAAGTTACCAGAGCATACCAGAACTAGAATGTTCCCGAGAGATGTCCTGTCCTCACGCATGAAAAATGTCTGCATTTAAGGCAAGTATATTGTTGTTAATTGCCACCAAAATATTGCTGTTACATATATCTTAATTTAAAACACTTTAATCTATAATATGCAATTTTCTTTTAAAGGCCTGAAGCTGGTAAAACCAATGCTCTCTATTTGCGACCTCTGCGGTACCCCACAGATTCCACTTGGTACGCCGACTCCCCTGTTGGAGTACACACTCTTCAACAGACCGTCGCAAAACTGTGTAAAATAGCAGGATTTACTGGCCACTACACAAACCATAGCCTCAGAGCAACCGCCGCAACACGCCTTTACGATGCTGGCATTGATGAGCAGCTAATAACCGAGAAAACTGGACACCGCTCGACATCTGTTAGATCGTATAAAAGAACAAATGAAGAACAACAGCAAAGAGTGAGCAAAATCATTCACGGTGAAAATCAGTGTGATGTAGCTATCAAGAAAGCCAAAACCGCAGCCGAAAGTGATTCTAATGTGTGTGCACCAGCTGGTGCTAGTGAAATTGAAATTTCGTCTGGAAGTGTATTTTTCAAATTTAAATTCTAAAGTTGGAATAATTATTACAATGTGTGTAATTCGTTGTTCATGAATAACATGTATATCTTTTGTGTTGGATTTGTTGTTATTTTTTCTTAGTGCTTACCTGTAACTGTCCAATAAGTTGTAAAAAAAGTGTCCACTATTTTTAATAGTGGACAGTTTTTCCAACTTATTGGACAGTTACAGGTAACTTATTGGATTGTTTTTGTTATTTCAAGGATAAGAAGGTATTAAAAGAACAAAAGATGATGTCATAACAATGTTTTAACTTAGCTAAGTCTTTGCTCGAGAAAAGTAATATTATCTTGATTTTTTTGCGGGAAAATGACTGAAATTTTCTTAAAATCCAAGAGCTTCCAGGGGCTTCGCCCCTGGACCCATTGAGGCCTCAGGGCGGCCCCCAGACCCCCGACCGTTTTCTGCGTACACTTCGTTTCCATGCTGGCTACGCGCCTGGCCATGTAGAGAAACAAAAATTAGGAATGTTTTCAACCATTCCTTGGTGGATCCAGTTCCATCGAACTTCTCCAGAAGTGGAATAGTACTTCTAGGCTAGCTTCTGTGGGCGGGCTGGGTGGTTGTAGGAGGAGGAGCTGTGTGTGTCGGAGAGACGGATTGTTCTGGATTACTCTCGACTGCACTCACTTCCTGATTCTTGAGCCACTCTTGTAGTGTTATGTTTTGCTGCTCCAGTTGCTTTACCCTCCTTCTCATTTTCTGAATTTCTTCTGTTGGTTTTGTTGAAGGCGGGGGCAGGTCTCCTTAAGCTCTTGGTTAGTGGGAAGGTGCCATGATCGTTCTGATAAATTCTTAGTATAGTGTGTCAAAGGATAAGGTTAAGGGTCAAGAGGTCGGTAACCATGACACTTTACAAATGCCATAGTGTCAAGCAATAAATGTGCAGAATACCAAGTCCATATCTCTTACAGTTCTTGAGATACAGGGTTTGACAGGCAGACGCCGGGTAAAGTGATCCCTTAGTGCCGATTTGCTCCGCCTAAAAATTACAGAAGCGTAAGGCATTATACATTAGATTTCAAGAACAAAGATCCTCCTATGTCGGATAATGGACACATTAACTCTTTGTTAGCTAGGAGAAAACTCTTGCCAGACATTTTTGAAAATTGCATTTATTTCCTGATTAATTTTCATGTTCTGTAGACAAATTATATTTGGGACTTAATTAAAATTGAATACATTCTGTTTAACTGAATTTGAATTATGCAGACGACCAAGAAAACAGCATTACCACCGAGTACTATGTATATGTAAGTTCATCCTACATACACCACAAGTCAAGATACACTTCATATTTTACGCCTTGTCACAATTCTGCATATCTTACAACATAGTTATTACGCAAAGTGCATACTGCGGTGGAAAATACTACAGATATTCCTGTTGATATACTAGTCAGAAGACTTCAACAAACCAAAATCCGGTATAATATAATTGTACAACACGGAGCTGCTTACTGGTTTACCTCGTTGTTTGAATTCAAATATATATTGGCTCGTGACATTGCTCTAAGTAAATAATTCTATATTAATTAATTTTGATTATTTGGCAATGAATATCATTAGATTACGAAAAACATATATTTTTAAAGAAATAAATCATAGCTTCTTGTTCACACATAGTTAATTTGCATTAAACTTCGTGTGAACGCATTTTGATTCGAATTAATTCAATGCTCATTATTTTACTCGGCAGCAACTTTTAATGCACATTAAAATTAATGTGAATCAAACTGTTAGAGGAATTCAATTTTTCTTGTTGCATCATTTTGACAAATACAGCTAACAGGCATTGGCGAATGATACTGGAAGAAAGGTGTCCTTAAAACCATCGCTCACCTTACAAGAGAAGATCATAAGAGCTGTTTGCAAATGTTGTGTACCAGTTGTTAATACCAGACACAGAGACATTTAAAGGGAGTGCTCACAGATACTATCAAAGGTTAAGCCTTCATCATTGATATGGCCATTTTCGCCCTGAATCGCATTTTCATGTTTCTCCTCTCCTCAAATATTCATTAGTCTTGCTTAAATTGATATAATTTATCATATTTGTCTTTCTTTGCAGTGGAATTAGAAGGATTACAGAGAACTGTAAAAGATCAGAAAAAGTAATGTTTTTTTTTTTTTTTTTACAAATTACCGGGTAGCCTTATCGACGAAGATATTGGGCCACGTGTTAACTATATTAGATTGCTGGAAAAGGCGTTGCTTCCTACCAGGCACATTTTTGTGACATTACCAAATTAAACACCGAAATAATTCCCATTTGCCAAGAACATCATCCACACGTTGAAATACTACTTGCAGAGAACATTCTGTGAATTATTCAGACACATATTTTCCTTAACAATATATATAATGCGGAGTGCCTTACGAATTTCACCAGGTTGGGGGAAAACGTAAATACCGGTATAATAGTGGTATATCACTATTACAGTGAAATTACGCTATATTTCCTGCCGTAGATACAGTGCGGCCTCAACTTCATCCGATACCATGCAAGGTGTTTGAACCGCAAGTCATGGTGGGTATTAAAATAAACGAAAACTGTCATGTTTGCATGTTTGGAATTTTATTAAATTTTAGATGCGGCACTCTTTTTAACGGAAGTTGCATTTTTAACACAGCAACCGGTGATTGCGGGTATTTAAGCCTGTTTGAATCTCACTTATTCCTCATTAACGTACACAAATTGATGTCTGTTAAAGTGTTGTCAACTCGCACTGCGTTTATGAAATTAAACAAGAAAAAGATTATTTCTGCCTACATGGTTACGGGTATGGAGGCTCATAATTGTACCATCACTTTCGATTCTCCTCTGCAGAACCTTGGTTTGTTTTTGTGAAGGAGCGAACGGATTCGGAAGAAAAGAAGTTCTCACTGAAGAAAATCGGTTCGCTTCAGTTTGATGCCACAGAGGTCCCAGCACTCCTACATCCTGCTGGGATGACCAGGGAGAAACAAAACTACCTGTACAGAAATGTTAGGCCCTACGTACGCCCTGCTCACCAAGAGGACCTGTGTCTTACACCAACTGAAGAATAGATGCGTAGTTTAAATGTATGAATCGATTGTACATATTGTCTTTCACTAATTAACAATTTTCAATTGCCAATTAGTACATGACTAATTAATTAGTCATGTACTCATTGGCAATTGAAAATTGTATTAGTCATGTATTCATTGGCAATTAGAAATTGTTAATTTGTGAAAGACAATATGCTGATTATAATGACCATTTAGCAATTGTAAATATGTTTTTTTTTAATGTTTAGTTTAATTAAATGGAACCAGCTTACTACAGTAGAACTCGGTTATACCGAAGTCACTGGGACCTATGAAATTACTTCGTTATATCCGTAATTATATAATAGTGTTGTGTTTTGCGTGCACTATGCCTAAATAGTATGTGTCAAACACTGACTACTATTTAGACATAGTGCACGCAAAACACAACACTAATGTTATTATTATGCTGACTGTTGGTACTGTATAAAATGGCAATATTTTCTACATTCCCAATGTTTCATCACCTGTAACATTCGTTTACTCTATTATGACGTCACCTTATGCAACATGTACGTCATAATCTTTTCCTTTAATTTTGAACGTTCCATGCTTTAGGTATAATCTACAGATAGTTTTAGAGAATATTATTTGAGTGAAGGAAGGGAGGCTGCAAGAAATTATTTTATCAGAATTATTTTGTTCATTTTAATCTTAAGTGTAAAATATTTGAAACTAAGTTTATATATATTAATACTACAATATTATAGATAACTGCTTCTGTGGCGTAATCGGGCTTCGGGGCCACCAACCTATAAAAATCTCACCTCAAAACTCACCCTCAAATCTTGGGATTCTGCCTCACCTGCAATTTTCCTAAAATGCCGTGCCACCAACATTTCTGAAATTGGTCTCACGTTAGCTGAGATTAGAGAAAAAAATTCAGATTTATTTACATAGTTACGAGCGTGTTTTTTCCCGCAATGATGTACAAAACAGCTGATTCAGGTAAGAACTCTACTTTCACTTTCAAAATATTTACATTTTTTGTTGAAAACGTGTAAATTTACATTGCGCATGTATTTCAATGCAATCAATGACGTCACATACGTCACATGTAAATAGCCGTCTGTCACCCTGTCACCCTATAATGGCTACAGATGCAGATTTGGCGATGGCTCTTGCTAATTCTGCAGACAACGTGTATTGTTCGGCTAGTTCTGGAAATTTATTTAAAAACTAGAAAACTGACCAGCCAGCAAGGGCGCCCCGCCATGGGGTAGAATTAAAAGGGTGCAGCTTATGGAATGATTAAAAAATGTACGAAGAATAAGCAACAGCAACTGTATTCTTAAAATTTCAAGATAATTCCTGAATATTCAAAAACCTGAAAATAATATCCTTGTATTTACATTAGGCAGCAAAGAACAACTTAACATTGAATGTATTAAACAATTATGAAGCTTGTGTTATATAGAATGCCAGCCTTCAATAAATGAAAATATCATGAAGGCTTGACCTTAACTTCAATAAACAGCAGTTGCAGACAAAGGTTTTCATTAATCTTAAAGATAAAGAAAAGCCTACTAAATTTTCTGCAGCAGGCTAGATAATTGATCCCAAAGGATTAATTGTACCTCTCTCATCATTTTCTTCTAAAGTAACAATAAGAAAATTTTCAGTATTAATGATAAAATGAGGTTTTTATAAAACTACCTTAAAAATTAATTAACGTAAAGTGAAAAAAGTAAATCAAAAAATTGTCTTTAATCTATTTCTTGTCTTTAATGAAATTATAACTATTAAACAAAAATAAATTATAAAAATTTATATCTAAATCCACATTTCACAGTGTTCAAAGCATTCCAAATTGACTAAACTTCAAAACAAACTTCATTTGCAGACAGAGGTGGTAATTCATCTCAATGTGACAGATAAAGATAATGCTCTGGATTTTCTTCAGGAGGAATGCTAATTAATCCCTATGGACTCATAGCCAGCATTCATTTTACAATGTGTACATATTCAGCAGTTATCTCTCTTTGCCAATGCATTCTAAAGTTAAGGAATCTACCCCACCACCCCAGCTCCAAACCAGGGGACATAGAGAACCAAACTTAGCATCAAAATATGTATTTTTGCCTACTGAACTACCATACCAAATTTGTACTTGATTGGGCAACCATTAAAAAAGTTGCCCATTCATTCTTATGCATAGTTAAGGAATCTACCTCACCACCCCAGCTCCAAACCAGAAGACATTGAGAACCAAACTTGGCATCAAAATATGTATTTCTGCCTACTGAACTACCATACCAAATTTGAACTGGATTGGGCAACCATAAAAAAAGTTATTAGAAAAAAACAGAAAATTTGTGGACGGAAGAGGGACAGACGGACAGACAGAGTGATTACTATAGGGCACCCGCAAATCCTTGCGGGGCCCTAAAAAACCTAATTGGACCGAGTTAGAAAAGAAGGTGTTGGTAGAGGAGGTTCATAAAAGAGAGACGGTTTTGTTCGGGAAATTTAAAGGCCCGGGGGGTGGCAAAGCAGCCAAAGACTCCACATGGGCGGAGATTGCAGAGGCTGTGAATGGGTATGTTCTCCGGAAAGTTCCGCATTGTTTATTTTTTTATTTTGCGATCACATGATCACACGATGGCTGCTTGATGACGCCTGTTTGGCGGTTATACGAGAAATTAATTGAAACATACGATAAGTCCATTACTTCATTATATATATTTAAGTCTTGTATACCTTCATAATTTACTTCTTTCTTTTATATTTCTTGCACATTGTTAGGCCTATCAGTTCTGCTTTCGGTAACATGCTGTTCGATATCTCTTGATCAGGTCTGGTACAATGAATCACTAGATTTACTCATTTAGCAACGAGTACGTAGCTTGATTTAGCTACGTAGCTTGATTTAACTACATAGCTTTATTTACCTACCTGGGGTAACTTTATTTAGCTACCAAATCAATTAATTTCTAGAAAAAAAATTCTCATGGTGTGCAGAAAATCTCATTTTGATGCAGTGATCATTTTCAACTTTTGAAAAACAAGAAGAAATGTCTTTTTCTGCGCAATTGCAATCAAAGTTCTAAAAGTTTAGGGGTTATTGTATGGGTTCAAAAGGTATAGCCAAGGTTAACTGTTGATTAAGCCATATACTATAGGGTGAATTCACAGTGCATTGGACACCCTGTACTTCAACAACTTGTATAGCAATATCGTGACCCAACTTAGCACAGATCCTTGGTGGGGCCGTTCAGTGTTTTCAAGGGGTTCAAGATCACTTTTACTTGGTTTATTATAAACATTCAATAATTCTGCAACCCCCACCAGGCCAAAACAACTAATGTTCCTTGTGATAGATAAATTACTATTATCGTATTATTTTTTAATTTTTTAACGTTGTTAATTATTCAGTATAATTAAAAATGTGATAGCATTCATCTCAAAGTGCACTCAGAAAGAACCACATTTGACTAATTGTGTTCTGATGTTTTCTTATGTTACCTGATTAATGATTATTTTTTATACTTTAGAGTCAGTGGCGCTGGAATGCAGAGAACTGGTGGTGAGGCTAGTAAACAATATAGCAACTTGAAGCAGAGAGGTAATTAAAATGTTAATATCTTGGCATAGTAGAAAAGCATAACAAATGTAAACATTGAGTAATATAAGTGTTCATCAAATATTAGAAAGTTAATCAGACATCCAAATGATTTCCCTCCTATTATCTGATTATTTCAGATTATAGGTGGAAAAACATTTGTATACCTGATTAATGATTATTTTTCCAAGATATGGAGATTTTGTGATTGATAAAGAGCGATAATTTGGTTGAAACAAGGCCATCCTTAAAAAAATTTTGTTTGGAATTGCCGCCTGAAGGGTTTCAGACACAGGAGGGAGGGATGGAAATTTTTTTTTTAAATTGAAGATAAATTTTAAATTTTTTATAAAAAAAAATCTCAGTAAACAGTAAATACATTTTCTGGCTTAAAAAAGTATCTACCATCAACAGAAAAACCTAATTTTACATAGATCTGACACTTCATTTCAGTGTTTTGTTTGGTGCATGTGATACATGGAATGGAAAATAAATTGATTAGATAAAAAAAAAATCCTTCTACTTTTGGTCAATAATTTTTTTTCAGAAGGGGGAATTTCAAAGAGGCGGGAGGCAATTTCAAACAAAACATAATTTTATTTTGGCCCAACAATGAATCTACAAGTATGTAGCCTTGCCTTGCATGTTTTGTACTGCCACCGTAGAAAGAGTTAATTTTTACGATTCATTGGTCCTTATATTAACTCTCAAACAGTCGGAGGTTCGTTTGATGTAAAGCTCCGGCAATTGTAACATAATGTTTTCAAAGACACAGATAGCAAAAATTCTAACTATTTCTTTCGCTTCAGTTAATCTGTTGAGGACATCTTAACTCAATTTTCTCTTCTGTTTTTTAAAAGTATAAACCAGTAAAGCTACAGTCTCGTCAGAGTCTTCTGGTTATTACAGTAACCTGAGATTGTATAGTACATGTAGTTATGTATGCAGTCAGCAATGTTTTTTCCATTTTTCATAAACAAGGATTTTTTTTTTAATCAGCAAAGGGAAAACTATCAGAGATGAAAAGACCAAAGACAGGAGGTGGCCCAAAGCCCCCTTCACCTTCAGTTGCTGAGCAGTGCATTCTTGATTGTTTGGAGGGAAGTACATCCCTTGAAGGAATAGCTGGAGGAATTGATACAGCAGGTTGCTAATTGCATGAATTCTTACTGTTTATATTCCATTATGGAATTGCTAGGAAAGAAAAACAAATCCTGAGTGAAATACATGTATACAAGAATGATTTAAAGGTTTTATTACATAAATATAACAAAACAGTTATGATCACTGCTGAGAATAATCTAACTATATTTCACAAGTTCTTAAAATATTTGAAGTCAAAAGTGTCGGTATCGCCTGGTTTTTTAATAGATTTCTGGTTTAAAAGGTAATTGCGGTTTTTGGCTAATTAGAGCATTCAAAACCTTATTCACACCGAAAAAAAGAATATTGTATATCTTGTGATTGAAAAATATCCATATTATTTATTATTTTATCTTTTTTATCGTTATTAACTGAGAAATATTCCAAAACAAGTTGCACTGTGACAGAAATATGTAGACAAAATATCACCTCTCTCAGTGATTCGGTCGCACTATGACCTCTGATCCCCAAATAATATTCACACAGAATTGAACATATTTTCTCTTCAGTAGGTTCATCTAAGAAAGATATAATGCAAATGTAAATATAAGGCAGTTGATCTGTCAGACATGGGCAACAGTTTGCAGGCCGGTCTGACAAATCAACTGTTGCTCTTAACCACACTCAACAACTACATAATAATGAATATATGGTATAAGACTATAATCTTAAATTAACTACGAAAAGTTGTTTAGTTTAATGAATTAAAAAAAATTAATTTTCAATATTTTTTCAAAACAGATCCAGCATCAGAAGTGTGTGGTCCACCATCAATTTTGAAAAAGAAAGAGGAATCAGAAGGTAAAATTATAGGATATTGGATCTTACATGATCTGTAGTTGAATATGCATGATTTTTATCCAACGAGCTGTGCGGTTTTTATCCTCAAGCCTTGGTGAGGGGATAAAAACACAAAACGAGTTGGATAAAAATCATATCTAACTACAAATCATGTGAGGTTCTTTTTATCCCATGTTTTTTACACCACAAATAATGTTTCAACACTGTTTTTATATAGGACTTCACTTCATTTTACTTCATACCTCTAACGCAAAACCCATTGTGACGTCACAACTGTGTGTGATATGAAAACTATTTATACGGTCTCATCTGAAGGACCGGTCTTCACGTTGCACCCCACAATTTTTTTACCCAAAATTTTTATGGATGCAGGTCTATAAATGTCTTTGATCATTTCGACTTAGAAAGCAATTAACTCTTAACATCACAATAGCATTACGATTATTTATTCTTGCATGTATAAGCAATAGTTTTACAGTAATTAAAAGAAACATCTAGCTTTTACAAATGAATAAAAAAACAAACAACAAATAGAATATACTGTGAAATCCCATATATCATTTTTATAGCAACATTTTCAAATTTCTCTGTGAAGGAAAATAATTTCCCCCTTAAAATTAAGATCACAAAAAGATAATGTGTACAAGTTTATTCATTCCGATTATTTCAGTTGTGATAGAATAACACATGATGATTTGATTTTCCGGGAACGTGTGATCTGTTTTATACTTTTTAAGTTTCCTGGAATTTTGCAGATAGAAGTAAACCATCCTCCAAGAAAAGAAAGACCACCACTCAGTACCTTGAAGAAAAAACTATGACATTAGAGCATGAGAAGATGAGAGAAGAAATTCAAAAGATCAAGTTAGAGAAAGAAGTCCTGGAAATAAAGAAATCGTATTACAACTTAAAAGTTCAAATGTTCGTTAATGAGCATCCTGAGGTGGTGGCTCAGATACTCCCAGTACATGAAGTTTAATTTTTAATATCCTTTTATAGATACACTTTCACATTTACAAGAGTTATTTCCCTTGGCAAGGGCTATTTGGAATTTGGAAACAGTTATAACCAACTCTTTTCATCATCACTCCATAATAATTTAATTCAATGCACTTTCTTTACAATTTCCATGTTGGCATACAGTCATGACATTAATAACTTATAAATCAAATCTCTTTGTATTTTTCCGTCGTCTGTCGTCATTGTAAACTTTTTACATTTTTATCTTCTTCTCAAGAACCACTGGGCCAAGTTCAACCAAACTTGCCACAAAGTATCCTTAGGTAAAGGGGATTCAATTTTGTTCAAATGAAGGGCCACGCCCTTATTCAAGGGGAGATAATTCAGAAATAGTGAAAATTTGGTGGTATGTTTTAAAAATCTTCTCAAGAACCACTGTGCCAGGAAACTTGAAACTAATAGGAAAGTATCCTCAGGTAGTGTAGATTCAAGTTTGTTCAAATCATGACCCCCAGGGGGTAGGGCGGGGCCACTATGGCCGATCAAAGTTTTACAAAGAAATATATAGGGAAATTATTTAAAAATCTTCCTCTCAAGAATAGCAAAGGCATGAATGATCATATTTATATGCAAGCATCCTTTGTTAGTGTTGATTCAAGTTGGTTCAAATCATACCCTCTCCCCTTTAGGAATTTGTTGGAACCTCTTTTGGGTTTAAACTTTTCAATAATAAATTGATTTCTGCTTTTTTTTTTTTCTCTCAACCTACTGTGCTCAGGTGAGCGATGTGGCCCATGGGCCTCTTGTCTGTTATGCTCCTTGCCTTGTGGTAATACAGGAACAACTCAAAATTCAACCAAAACTTAAATTTTTAATAGATTCAATTGAAATATTACAGGTATTTTGCAAAGGATCCAGTTAAAAAAATTATATATTTGTCATGACAACATAAAAGATCTCTTTAGAATGTGAAAGTCATTTGATATGTAAAAAAAATTCTTCATTTTCAGTACCATGTATCAAATGAAGCTTGGTTATAAAGGATATGCATATGTATCCACATGTATGGATTAATATCAAAACATAGGTGTAATTTATGGCATTTTTCATGAAAAATATTTTGCAGTTTGTAAACTTTTACACCAAACACTGAGGGGAACTAAATGATGTTTCTTTGTATAATATACATGTACACTTTTTTATGTACATTGTAAAAATACTTACATGTACACATACCGTATAGCGGGTTATTTTAGTGGGGTGCTAATTTTGGCTTATTTTGGCGTTTTGATGATAGTCCGCTAAAATTTCAATCTTTAAAATAGTCAGTACTCTTATTAGTGTCGATTTTCAAAAGGTTGAATAAATTACGCCAAAATTATTGGCATACCTTTGAGTAGACAAAACGCCAAATTTTACACCCGACAAGAAAACCTACTATACGGTATATGCTTTTCTGATCACTTTTTGGCCAATGACCATCTAACCCTTTATCTATTTGGACTTGCTCACAAGATCCAGTGGAAAAAATTAAAGTAATCTTAAAGAAATTCAAGAATCTTATATGAAGTTATTGTGAAAGCACCCTCAAGCAGTACAGATTCAAGTCTGTTCAAATCATAGTCTCCATGATAGGGTGAAACCACAATAGCTTTTTTGTTTGTTTGTTGCTTAATATTTCTTTCAATAATTTTAGTCAGTGGATAACTGCAAATTTAGATTTATACTGGACATAGTACCACTGAGCAGTGAAGGATCTTTTTCGTGCAAGCAACTTCTGTGACACGACCTGGATTTTCACGGTCTTGTTTGAAGCACTAGTCTTGATTTGTGGACTCAAATTATATCCTGACCCTACGATACTGGTACTTTGACAATATGGAGCTAAATATTTTCATATAAATGAAGGGGGAGAAAAATCTAATAAAGATCTTTTGATGGAGAAGTCAAGGTAACTCAGGTGAGCATTGTGACCCAAGGACCTTTTATTTAATTGTAAACTAAGTTTTAAAATTAGATGTTAATGGTATATATGTAAGAAGTAAATAAATGTATTAATAGAACAAACAATGGTGTCTTTATATTTATATAATGCTACAGTGTTCAAAGTATGAAATTTCATGGACTGGACACTCAGAATGAAAGAATTTGATGTGTATTTTATACCTGAAATATGCGTCTTTAATGTGATCCCTCACTGTGTTCAAATCATGACCCTGGGGCCAAAATGGCCCGTTTTACAAAGACCAAATTTAATTCTTCGAATAACTTTTTAATAAACTTTTATCGAAAATTATTTTAAACTTCTTAAAAGGAATATGGTCTGATATGTTTATACAAAAAATTTCAAAGAGAAATATTAATTTATCAAAATAATCCAACAATCAGAAGTTTTTGGTCTCAGTCGTAAGTTCTTTTGTAAAACGCACCCCTGGACATCCTCTGGAAGGGGCACTTCACAGGCTTCATTTATTGCAGTGATCTCGGGGACATCTCTTAATATGTCTCCCCTATCCAGGCCGATGTTATGGAGGACGGCACATGCAGTGATCACCCGGCAAGCCCTCTCTGGGCAGGTTCTCAGGCCTGAATGCAGGGCGTTGAATCTTTTCTTTAAGACTCCAAAGGCCTGTTCTATTGTCACTCTGTGCATTGAAAAAATGGATATGATGTGAATGTGATGATACAAATATTTGAATGCATGCTCAATTTAAAAAAAAAAGGGGGGGTGGGAGTATATCATTGTACCAACCTGGTTCTGCTATGAGCTGCATTAAACTTTTGTGTGGCTGATGTCTCTGTAGCTAAGTATGGCGTTAATAAATATGGTTTTAACCCATATCCTGAGTCCCCCAACAGCACTCCTTGCAGCTGTCCTTAAAATTAAATTAAAGAAATTCTTCAGCAAACCATTATATAAGGATACAGATTGGAAATATCCAGTAATAATTTGATTCCCATTTCATAAGGCCATGCAAATTTAATTCCTTGGTTCTCAAGCCTTTTTTTTTTTAAAGAAATATGTTGAGGGAGGGAGGCATTTTAAATTGTACAAAACCTCAAAAAATGGTGAGGCAGTTTATTTCTTTTTTTTTTTATTTTATTAATTTAGCAATAGAGAGGTTCAATGAGATACACTTGTAAGAGATGAGGGGGGATCTGAGAACCAAAAAATTCATTTTTATTGGCCTAATTACCTTCCTCCATAACTCTGCAGAGGTGTGATTCCCGGAAAATTCTGGAATCATGGACGCTACCAGGCCACTTAGCAACCACGTCCCTGATTTTAAATCGAGCATCACACATCATCTGTATGAAATGGTGAAATTTTTAAGTACAATTTAAACATGGAATCATATTTTAGTCTGATTTATTTTTGGGAGCCAATGCATGTTTTTAATTTCTATTTTAAATATTTTGAAATCATTTTATATATGTGAAGACATAAACCTTTCGAAAGAGAGAGAGAGAAAGTGTTACTAAGAATTCACTGTGGCGAAAGAAGTCGATTTTATAGAATATTTTGAAGAAAAGAATGATTCCACTTGAGCATGGTGCCGTGGTCCCTTTTTTGAACCCCTCTAACTTTATCTAATTAACTCAAATCTTAATAATTTTACACCTAACCGATATTTTGTTATCAGTGTGATACATTACTTGCAAAAATTTTCATTGAAAACGGCGCTTTAGTTTTAATTAAGGTAATTAAGTAGGCCCTCTAGTGGGTGTAAATTCCGGAATGTTGCGCCTGTCCGAGTTGGGTTTTAATTGTGTCACATTAAGGTGGAATAACACACCAACTTTTTATTTCATAGATCTTTGAGTCATCCTTTTAAAACAAGGGATTTAGCATTGAAAGGTCGATACTAGCTCTTAAGCTATTTAGCTATTTTATATGAATTTTTTGGGTATTTTTTCAAATAAAATGAAAAAAAAATAATTATATCCAACTAAGATGTTTTCGAGTTAAAGCCATATATGGCGTAACTGATCAAAAAAATATATTTGAAAAATACAAAATTAAGGAAATAAATATAGTTAATACATTTAAATTAAAACTTTTCATATAATTCTGAACACGGAGAATACCTCGTTTCATCTAAAAATACGATTTTATATTCTCTGTAATTTTAGCGTAATAATTTTCATTGTACATACGCCATATATGGCTTTAACAGTTTGCTGTAAATGAATGTATCATATTAATATCTAATAAAATATGTAAAGAAAGGCTGGTTAGACTTTTTGAATTTTTATTATAAAAAAATATTAATGAAAATAAAACACATTATTTGTGAATATTTTTTTAAACCTATGGTTAAAATCACCATAAAATCCAATTTTTAAAAGAAATTGAAACGAAATGGAGAAATTTTAGAGAAATTAATTTTTTTAATGTTTGGACGAAACCTGATCAAAATTAAATTGACCCGGATCAAAATTAATACAAAATTAATAAAATGCTAATTTACTTTGAATTACAATGGAAATTCATGAATTACAGTGACCCCTCTTATAAAACACAGCCTCGTTCTTTATTTTTTTACTTACTTTTCCTGTAATTTTGCAAAGTTGCAATTAAGACCTAGAAGAATAGCTTTATTTATCTATTTGGGTTACTTTCTATATATTATTTTTGCGCAATTAACCGGGGGCCACTTTTTGTACACTACATGTAAGTGCAATCAATCTTTTGAAATTCAGTTTTGAAATTTCAAAGTACCTGCACATTGATGGCATAATAACCTTTGCGACATATGTAATCAGCCTCGTTCACTTTTGGTGCTATTATCTTGACCATTGTCCCGTCAACACACCCCACAACACTTGGAAATCCTGAGAAAAGAGGTACATGTAAGGGTTTGGATATAAATATCCTGTCCTTTGATCTTAAAAATCCTCAAAGAAAAGGAGACAGAGTACAAAGTTTTAACTGAGAAAGGTTCTTCGAAAACCATGATTTTTTTTGTTTACATTTTTATGACAAATTTCTCTTAATTGCAAATAATTTTTTTTTTAAAAAGTCAAGAAAATGAAATCCAGAATATATGGTATATAACATGTGTAATGAATAAAAGTATGCATTTTCATCTTCGTAATTTTTAATCAAGCCATATTAATTTTATCATGATGTTAATATATGTATATAGAATGAAATAATTTGTGAAGTTGTGTATGAAGATGAGAAAAATCTTTAATGCCGTATTTGCCCCATAATACGCCCCTTTGACTAAGGCATAAAGTCCCTCCCCCTTTTTTCCCCTGCTTTTAAAGCCCCCACAATTAAACAATGTAATTCAACAGAATGAAACCACTTTGTTTTTAATGATATAAAGCCTTGATCTAATTTTTCATCAAAATAATGACTAGGGATGGGTATCGCCAAAAATTTCGTATCGCAATATATCACGATTTTTTCCCACAATATCACGATAATATCATGATATTTTCAAAAGCAGTGTTTACATTTTTTTTATGAAAAGTCATTATTTTTCTAAAAAATTTATGCTAGAAAAACAAATTTTACTTTCTTAAAATTTTTATGTAATATAAAATCAATAATGTTTGGACGGTAAGATGCCGTTCTTTTCACTTTTTACAACATTTTTCATACTTTTTGTTATTGTAATTTGAAAGATTGAACAAATAAATGAATAATTTCTGGAGTTTATAATATGTACCTAAAGACCGGTATTTAGGTCTCTGTATCACGATATGTATCACGCAACAAAAAATCGCGATATACCGGTATATCGATAGAATCGCACATCCCTAATAATGACATTGATTATGGCTTGATAAAATTTTAATAATGCATGTCACTACGGGGGCATGCACCACTTTTAAGCTCATTTGGCATTAGGGTGCTTTGTGTAAAGTATATGTTTTTAATTTGTCTTCATAAATTATACATGTCTTGTAACAAAACGTCATTTTACTACTAAGGCAGATTAAGTTCAAGCGTTCCCATTAAATCCCATTTTTCGGTATGTACTGAGGCGCTTTATATGACGATTAATTTATTATGGTACATGTAATAGTACTAGTGCACTGTTTACGATTGATATACGGTTACCTTTCTGTGCTTGTAAAACGTGCATGCTTTAGGTACAAATGGAGAACTTCGTGTGAATAGACTGCATGATACATTTGTGTTATATTTTACTTTATGTTTTAATTTACTATTATGTGGTGAAATGCGTTAATGATCGGGCTCAAGCTACAGAATAAGTGAAGGTCATGGTCATGTGCAGACAAAATTTCTCACCGGCAATCTTATGGAATGCTGCCTTGATATTTCGCAGCTCCTCTCCACGGGGAAGGCTTATGAAACGCCCTGTAAGTTGGCACAGAAGGTCAGTGACTTGCCTTATCGCCCTACCAGCTGCACTTTTCGAAACATTCAAAGTGTCTCCAGTTGTCAGGTAGAAGGACCCTGTCGCGAAAAATCGCAACGAGACCAAGACTTGATGAAGGGGTGTCATTGGATTGTTTCGGAGATTCGGGAACGCAAGGTTATCTTTTAAGATATCGACAATGAAAAAGATAGTTGCAGGAAAAAACCTATATCTTTTAAATATCTCGCCATCGCTTAAACCTTCCAGTGGATTTGATCGATCCAAGATCCTCCTTGGCAGACGTATGGCTCTTCGCCGACGACGCTGCAGACGCCTTCTTACAAAACTTCCAGCCATTTTGGTGAGTGATTTCACGCGAGTTTTTTATTTGAGGTTACTGTTTACCAAACTCAAGATTTTCAGAGAAAACTCTGATTTTTCTCTCACCAGAGTCGGAAAAAACGTTGGTGGCACGCGCTTTTAAAAAATGTAAGATATAAGAAAAAAACTCAAAAGAATAGTGTGAGTTTGAAAAATATTTATTTGGTGGCACAGTTTGGTTAGAAAATCTCTGATTTTCTGCGAAATCTCAGATCTGAGAAAATATCAGGGTTGGTGGCCCCGAAGCCGGTAGCACGTCGGACCATAAACCTAAATCGAAGGGACTGCCGACTTATGACGCCACAATCACTATCTTCTTGTGATTGCAGCGCCCTCACCGGGATGTATAGAAACAGACTTCCTGTAATGAAATCAATGTTGTCGCATCACGGATTTCTGCATTCTTTAAGGAAATAACAATAAATTAGAAAAAATCAATCACTTATCTAAGCTTTCTTCGACGAAATGATCTCGATTTACTACTTCGGAAGTTATAACTTTACGCTATGGAGTCGATGGAAACGTTTTAACTGCAGACATCAGCTGACTACGACGTGACATCTCTTGAATGCTGTCGATTATATTTTACGGTAGTACATGTTTATCTTCTTAATTATTTTACAAAATAAGGACACAATTTATCTACCAATATTTGAACAACGACCAATTTCAGATCTTTTCTGAATTAATATAAATAATAAATACATTGTGAAGTGCCGTTTACCATAAGTGCTTGAAGACGGGACCCCCCTCCCCCTTTTTCTATATAGACCCCTGGGCTTTTTTCTCATAAATAATCTTTCATTGACTTATTTGTAATAAGATCTATACCAAACATTAGAAAAATTACCTAAAGCAAACGTTCTTTAGAATCTACTTTACACTCTATATAAAAATCAGCGAGAGTGGGGTAAAATTTTTATAGAAGTTAGTTTAATCAAATTTCCTGAATGGATAGGATTATATCACAAATGTGTCATCCATATATAATTTATGTGAAAAAGTCTAACAGGCCCTGGGGTCTATATTTATGTGAAAAAGTCTAACAGGCCCGGGGGTCTATATTGGGGGGGGGGGTCCTGTCCTCAAGCACCTGTGCCCTTTACAAGTTTTAGATCAACAACTTAATAAATTGAGACTAGATGTTCCCGTGAATGATCTACATAATTATGTATTTTTAATAAGTTGGATTTACAATGTATGTAATTTATGTAATCGTGTTAATTCAGGATTACAACATTGTCAGTGTTGAAAAGATTTTCTAAGAGATTTTTTTTTTCATTTTTCCCCACAGGTTTTGTAGATAGCCTGTCTGCGGGTCTGCCTTGCACATCAAACTGTATGGAAAATATTTTAGAACATGGTCATGCCATGTACCACCTGGTATGATGAGTTCAATGTGAAAGAACAAAGATTGGTCACAAACCTGCACAGGATTAAATCAACAAAAGAGCCAAGTGGTGTGTCCCATGTATGCACGTCTGAGTTGCACATGACTAGATTTCAATGATTTAATTATCATGTTTAGAACTCCAATTTTTTCAACTACATGTGTATACTATGTATATCCAGAATGTGATTATAATTAACTTTTGTATATCATAACTCAAAGACAAACTGCATCAATATCAAATAATTTAATGTGACTGTAATGAAATATTATTAAAATCATTGTTATATTTAATTTTAGACTTTACCTTTTCTATAGTGAGCTTATATTGGTGAGCACTGTTTTAGATATACATGTATGGCATATTTAATGTCTTTTTAAAATATTTATTTTCAATGTAATCAATCACAACTGCAAAAAACAAAATCATAATAGCTGAGCATCATGTTCAATCTTATCAGCAGTATTGAAGAACAAACACTAGTAAGTAATTATACCCCACGCAACTAGTTGCGGGAGGTATAATGTTTTTGACCCGTCCGTCAGTCAGTCAGTCAGTCAGTCCGTCAGTCAGTCAGTCCTCTTTTTTTGTCAGCGCAACTCCTCATAAACCGCTGCACAGAATTTAGTCAAACTTTGTAGGTATTTAGGACACAATGTGTAAATGTGCATATGAGCAGGAAATTCCGATTCCATTATTTTTTCCGGGAATTTCCGCACTTTTTAACTTAGGCATTTGGCCATACCTTGAATATAGAGATGAACAGATTGTCAGCGCAACTCCTCATAAACCGCTCCACAGAATTTCGTCAAACTTTGCAGATATTTAGGACACAATGTGTAGATGTGCATATTACCAGGAAATTCCGATTCCATTATTTTTTCCGGGAATTTCCGCACTTTTTAACTTAGGCATTTGGCCATACCTTGAATATAGAGATGAACAGTTTGTCAGCACAACTGCTCATAAACCGCTGCACAGAATTTCCTCAAACTTTGCAGGTATTTAGGACACAATGTGTAGATGTGCATATTACCAGGAAATTCCGATTCCATTATTTTTTCCGTGACTTTCCGCACTAAATACTTAGGTTTTTGGCCATACCTTTTACACAGAGATGAAAAGTTTGTCAGCGCAACTCCTCATAAACCTCTGCACAGAATTTCGTTAAACTTTGCAGATATGTAGGACACAATATGTAGATGTGCATATTACCAGGAAATTCCGATTCCTTTATTTTTTCCGGGACTTTCCGCACTAAAAACTTAGGTTTTTGGCCATACCTTTTATATAGAGATGAACAGTTTGTCAGCGCAACTCCTCATAAACCACTGCACAGAATTTCGTTAAACTTTGCAGATATTTAGGACACAATATGTAGATGTGCATATTACCAGGAAATTCCGATTCCTTTATTTTTCCGGGAATTTCCACACTATCCAACTTAGACTTTTTGGCCATATTTTGAATATGCAGATGAACAGTTTGTCAGCACCACTCCTCTTAAACTGTTGTACATAGTTTCTACAACCTATGCAGATATTTAGGACATATTCCATTAAGAGTTTGCCTATCATTCAAGAAAATTTCTCAACCCCCCCCCCCCCCCCCCCCAACCACTTCAAATTAATGTTTGGATTTGTATAATGCCAAGAAATTTTGATTCCATTATTTATCTAGAAACTTCATTCCACATTTAAATGTCCTCATATGCAAGACATTTTGAAGTGAAGATTTTTTTGCAATTATTGC